TTTTTTAAATTGAAAATTGACATTTTGTAAGTGATCAATTTACTGAGATGACAATTATTTATCCTCAAATAATTTAAGTGGAAAAAAAGGCAAACATGACAATAAAATTGTTCTTCTCATAGCTAGTTAGAAGGCCATAAAAAAATAATATTGTTCGACAATTATTTACCTTAACCTAATTACATAATAATTCAAGGGTATAATTGGAAATGAGTTTTTTTATAAAGTTTTAACCCAATTCCAAAATGGGGTTGGAACCAATGAACCAAACACTTGGTAAAAATAAACCCTGCATTATTCATTTTTGTACCAAACGACCCCTCAATGTTTAGCATTAATATATCCACAACCCTCAAACTTATCGGTAGATTTCATATACTTGAACTACAGTTATTTTAATTGAGCACTTGGACATGTGATAAAGTGTTCTTTCAGATACTTCTTGTTCAAAATTTGAAAAAACTTTTACGTGCGATCTCAGGTCTCATTATGTAGATAAATAAACCATACAAAAGATGTCATAATCTTTAATTAGACATATCATTCTTGAAACATACATGAAGTTTATGACTTGTTGAGACTATAATATATAATTCTAGATGTAAGAGCAATAAATTAAATCACAATCAAATTAATAAACAAGATAACAAAGATGTGATTATTAAGAAATAAAATTAAGGGAGAATTGACTTTAGAAGAACAGAAAATATAATCTAACAATTAAAATGCATTGATTGTTTGATTCAATTTCAATATAAAGGGAAGAAAAATAAATGCATATATGAAAATTCTTACTTAAAGTATCCAAGAGAGATTCGTTGAAGAGATACTAGGAAATCCTTCCATAAATTCACACAAAGAGTATTTCTCTATCTTCAAACTTAGTTAACCCTACCATGAAGACTTAATTAAAGACTATTTGTAGTGATCTTGCAAAAATAGTTAAATTATAAAAATGACTAAATTATATTATTAAGTCCTTGATCACATTTGTGCTTGTCATCACTTATCTCGTAAATTCATGTGTGCATATTATGAACTTTAAAATCTCTTTTAATGTATCTTTCATGGCACTTTGAGCTCTTGATGAGTGATTAAATACTTCCATATTCAAGATATTCTATACTCTCATTGTTGATATCAATTTTACTACCTCGATTTGCATCATACTAACGTGTATAATAACATATATGACATATTTTAAATGGTCAGCTAATTTATATAATGGACATTTGTGAACACGCACAAAATAATAAATTAGATGAACGTAAATACAAGCATGGAATAGGTATTATAATTAGGTCAATTTATGCATGCATTACATTATATGTATGTGCATGATTTAATCATTCTAGTTTAACCAATTTAATGACTAACAAATTATATAAGCATAATCACATACATGTATAAAATATATGTACAAATTATAAAATTTTAGTTTGATCAATTTGATGACTAACCAACTATGAACAAAAATACATACATAAAATGAATATATATAAAATTATTTTATCATATTGATGTTTCATATTCTAGTTTGGCTATATAATGACTTACAAACTGTATATCTTAGTACATGCATAAATTAAAAACAAATATAATCTGTGTAATATTAGACATTCTAGTTTGAGCACTTGACGACTAACAAACTATTACTTGTTCCTAATTACTTGTCTACTTTTGAATAATTGACACATCTATTAAGAAATTAATTATTGACATAGTGAGTTTGCCATTTTACCCCTATTAATTATGAAGTGAATGAATTAAAAATTTAAGATTTTCAAGAAGTTCTACTTATTTCAAAGTAATTAATTGAGGGTATAATAGATAAAAAAAATTATTTTTTCTTGATCTATCAAAATGGACAAGTAATTAAGAAAAACTAAAAAAGGAAAAGTGAACAAGTAATTAGGAACGAAGGGAATATGTAACTTTAGACACGTATCTTAATTATTGTTAAAGGTAAGAAGCACATTAAACACACTAAATGACTCAAATTAAATTTGCTTATAGCTCAAGACATAAATATTAACTTTCTTTGGCCCTAAATTAATCTACTAATTAAACTACATTAATCAAATAAATCTTAGACAATGTTTTTAAAATTAATTTGTACAATCTATGAATAGGCTCATAATACACCGTTCAAACTTAGTTAAACCATAAACTTTAAACTTAACACGGACTAGAACCTTAAATATTAAAACTGCATCCAAATGGGATAAGGCTATCATTAGAAGGAGAAATCATTATATCTTACCCCATAAAATAATTTGGAAAGACTATGTTTGTTTCAGTAATTAAATGTAGGGAAAATTGTACATAATGGCAAACTATTAATTCAAATTAAATGGTATAATCACACTTTGATTTAATTGTGTCCTGTAGCAAACTGTTTGCCAGCGCCTCTCTCCCTCAAACTCTCGCTCGCCATTCTTCTCTCTCGCTCACTCTCTCTGTGCTCGCCTCTCTCGCTTTATACACAGAAGTGTATAAATTGTGTTTATGTTTGTATAAAGCGAGAGAAAATTGTATATACACATGCAAATAACATATATATTTGTCCTATTACACTTATAATTATACAATAAAAATATTCCCCTGCCCAGTTCTCTTTTGTCTTTCTCTCTTTCTCGTTTTATACAACAGAATTGTATAAATTGTGTTTCTGTTTGTATAAAGCGCGAGAAAATTGTATATACACATGCAAATACATATATATTCGTCCTATACACTTATAATGTATAATTTATG